GGCCCATACCATTAAAGTTGACTAAACAAAAAAAATAATGTTTACTTACACAAACATGAAGGCTGGAAGTCAAGTCATCCATTTCTTTCGAGAGGAGAAAGGACCCCAGTACACTATACACCCTGATTCAGTTCACCAATGCTGATAACACAGCCTTAAAACACAGAAAAAGCCTTTAAAAAAAAAAAAAAAAAAAAAAAACAGAAAAACCCTAAGCGCCACGACCCACAAAACTCAACCCATGGTACCTATAATTACGATTCGTTCTGCAGCCGCAAACATACGCTTATGGAAATTTTGGACCTAGAAAACTCAACTCCGAACCCAAATTCTGTCCCCTTCACCAAACCCTAAACCCAACCCTAACCCAACCCTAAACCCAGCAAACCTGCAGCACTAAAACCCACAAACATCAAACCATGGTACGACCTTACCATGTTCTCTACAACCCCCAAACGTCAACTCATGGAAATTCTGGATCCCACACCCAACGCTAAACCCAAGCTAAACCCAACCCTAAACCCAACCCTAACCCAACCCTAACCCAACCCTAAGCCCAACCCTAAACCCACAAAAACCTATAGGCGCTGGGCCTCCAAACACCAGCCCATGGTAGCTGCTTACAATTTGTGCTCCCTAACCTTCCCCTGGCCCCCAAACATCAGCTCATAGAAATTATCGGACCCTAACAGTAAACTTTAAACCCCTAAACCCTAAACCCTACGGCAGTAAGGCATACGCCCTAGAGCCTACAACTCCAGACTTCAGATGGTTGAGATCATTTGACGTGAGAAACAGAAAGATTTAATGAAACACCCTACAAACTCAAGCTCACTACTCCTTGATTCCCTCGAACCAGATAACTTGGATTATGACCCCTGAATCTCCACCCCCCCCCCCACAGGGGTAACTGAAAACCCTAAACAAGCCTCATTTGAGTTATAAACAGTTAAACCCTTTTTCTTTTTTTTTCCCTTTTTTCAGACAAGTAGAGTTGAACTCATAAACCCCCTCTGCGACCACAAGTCTCATTTGCTTATGATCTCCTCTTTTCCCTTCCCCCATCGCCCCC